GCCGTTTGGGGAAGACCGGCAGCCTGTGGGAAGGACTCATGTTGGAGAAGTTTCTGGTTGGAGGGACCCCGTTCTAGAGCAGGGGAAGAATGTGAGGAGTCTTCCCCCTGAGGAGGAAGTTGCAGCTGAGACAATGTGTGATGAACTGACCACAGCTCCCATTCCCCATCCCCCTGTAATGCTTGGGGGGAGGAGGGAGAGAAATCAAGAGCCAAGTTGAGCCCAGGAGTAAGGGGGGGGGAAGGTGTTGTAAGATTTGGTTCTAGTTCTCATTATCCTACTCTGATTTGATTGGAAATAAATTAATTTTCCCCAGGTTGAGTCTATTTTATGTGTGAGGGTAATTGCTGAATGATCTCTTTCTGTCCTTATCTTGACCCAGAAGCTTTTCATTATGTTTTCTCTCCCCTGTCCAGCTGAGGCAGGGAGTGATAGAGCAGCTTTGGTGGGCACCTGGTGTTCAGCCAGGGTCACCCACCACACCTAAGTATCTAAAAATGGAGTATCTTAAGTTTGTGATTCAGACAGTGGCTGTTGGTCATTGGAAGGAAATTGATCCTTTTAGAACTGGAAGGGATTTACTGAGGATCAAGTCTTAACATGCATATATTTGGCTAAGGTCCAGTTACTTTGAATGTTAAGAGATTTAGCTAAACAACAAGTAAAGTAAATGCCTAGGAAGCATATAATCTTACTTCTAAAAATCATTTTTTAAGTGCCTTGATTTTTTTGCCATACTAATGATAGCTAGTAGGTTTAGTAACTTAGAGGTCACACTGCACTGGCTTAAAGTTATTGTTGAGCAGAATATCTGTTAGTGAGAATAGGATACAAGGGAAATGCCAGATCCCTGCTCTAGCCAAGCAGTAGCAGAATACTGGGAAACTTGAGGCAGAAGTAATGACAAATTTTAGGAAAAAAAAACTACATACCTTCACAGCTGTTCAGAAACATAATAATTCTTCCTGCAACTAAGGAGTGTTTTGTCATTTGGGGTTTTTTAATGAGACTGGTAAGCATGAACTTCTTGGTACAACTATCTGTGCCTTTACAATTAAACAGGTTCTCATTGCTGAAAGCTCAGGCTATGACTAGTTAGCATCATAAAAAAGTGTATGTCTAATACTAAAATGAGTAGCTTATCAGAGAAAAGATGTATTATGGGATTGAGTCTCAGTGGATTCCCTAGGTTTGGCAGACTTCTAAGTGTAAATATTGAAATCCAAAACTATACAGAGGAAGCTTTTTTAGTGCCTTTACAGATATTTTTGAGGATCTATTAATTTGTGTCTGTCCCTGGATTTTTTTCAGATTTCCCCATAACAAGAAGCTATTGCTTCAGTAAGAAAATTAGAGAAACTGTTTTTTAGATTGTTCATACTCTGTATATTTTGAGCTTGTAGTCACAACTGATTGAAGTGATGCAGCAGTACGTAACTCATTTAATAATCTTTGTATCCAGGAAGCTGTAACTGTTGTGTGTGCAGATTCCTTAACAGTTTCTCTCTTCAGAAACTAGAACAACTTAATCAGTATCCAGACTTCAACAACTACCTGATTTTTGTTCTTACGAAATTGAAGTCTGAAGGTAAGTTCTTGAGATATTGACTGTTTTATTCTACTTTTTTGCCTTTTTTAAAATTGATTTTATTTAGCTTGAAAGAAACAGGAAGCTGATGCCTGTAGTCAGTTTGCTGGTTAGTTGAGCTCCGTAGTCATGTAGAACTCGTTTATCCTCTCAGGAGTCTTTGTGGAAAAAAATCTGATAACTTATTTGTGCCTGTAGTTTCAGCCTTGGGATAGATTCCTTTTTAATTGTTCTGTGAAATCTTCCCAGAAATGTTGGAGCATCATACCTCTATCAGACTGCAGTGAAATTCTGGAATAACTTTGAATCATGACTATACACATTATAAAACATGCTGCTAAATTCAGTTATGGTAATGATCTCCCTAGTAATGAGACTGTTAAACATATACTAGAGTTGTCTGAAGATGATGTCTGTCAGAATCTTCATTCTGAAGTCTTAATTCTAGCAAAATAGTTAGAAATCAACTGGCTACTTACTGTTGTCTTATGAATGTTACAACAAACTGCATATGGCATACTGTGTAGTCTCTACCAGTTGGTAAATTCAGACAATTCATTATTAATGATCAAGGTGTGTGAAAGATTCTTTCCAGTGTACTACAGCTACTGATTTTTGAGGTCTCTGACAGTGAAAGAAATTTGTGTGAAGATCTATTTTAGCACATGTGGCTTCTTTATATTTGTTTGTAATTAGTGTGTTCGATTGTTTGGGTTGTTTTCTCAGGCTTTTTCCTTAGTGTCCTGCTGCCAGTGCTTTTTCTGCCTTCTAGTGTTTCACCTCTGAGTTTCTGGATCTTGCTTTTTTCCCTTTGAATTAGATTTTTACTTACATGTGTCCCTGTAACATTCAAAGAATCAGCAAGAACATTTATCTTAAGTTTTAACTAGTTTTTTTGTTGTACTGTCAGCTAAATTCAGAAGGAGGGAAATGGAGGGGAGGAAGAAAGTATATTTTCATGTTTGAAGCTGGAGTATATCCCAATGTTTTTGTGTGTGCTATGTGGGAAGTCTCCTGATCACCTGTAAGGCCTTAGGGGACCTCAAGTACGAGAGAGATATTTCAAGACCTGGTTGATACACATCAACCAGGGTATTAAATTTTTGAGCAAGGTGCCAGTGTAGATACAGCATGTGCTTTATACCATCAACAGGAAAATGAAAAGCAGAGTGAGTCTGGTAGTGGGATTTGGAGTCTGTACAAAGGGTATGATGAGAAGAGTGTTCCAGTTTTTTTCCCAAATTTGTTTTCTAACACTGCCTTACTTGCTAATTTCCCTTTCATTCTGTTCTAAAAGTCTGCCAAGTTCTGAATGTCATGTTACCTTCTTGGGTAGGACTAATAAGGGACAGTGGAAGACTGTTGGTTGGATTTGCTTTGAATCCAACCAACAGCCCTCCATAGTCCTTCATTAGTCGTGCCCAAGCAAGGTAAAGAGGTCGTTCGTTAGAACTGCTATTCAGTAGCTACAATACTCTTGCATCCTCTTTTGGACCAGGGGAAAATGTGATGGACTCATCAGTTGGATAACTCTCTTCAGTACAACTGGGAGAACAGTTTTTCCTTTCCCATCCTGAAGAGGGTTCTGTTGGTGGTCTGTCCTACAGCCTTGCCAAGTTTGTTGGGTATGGGAAAGAACTAGTGTGCTTTACACCACAGATCAAAGCATAGATAGTCATAGCGTTGGAAGTTCATGTTTTTGTTGTTGCCATGCCATCCCAGCAGGAGAAGCCATGAAAATAAGCTTCCAGCATCACTGACAGCTTACTCAATAAAAATTAAGGTGTTAGGTAATGCATGAGGAAAAAGAGCTTGGTTTCATAGCAGATGAGACTAACCTTTGATTCAGTTTTTGCCACTGTTGAAACCACTACTGAGAAAACTGTGCTTAAGGATACATTTAGGTGACAGCTCCTGAATGTTGGAATTCTGTAATGGTTCATTGAAATGTGTGTTAAATAGCCTCATTTTACTGCAGTGGGGGCTGTACCAAATTATCTTTGGCCTGAGTATTAGGCCTCTGCAAACAAATAACTTTGCTTGCAAAGCTGTCTGTTTCACTGGGGCCTGCCTCTGAGATACTTAGGTAAATCTTATTTGTAGGGAATTTGTTTTGTTTTAGTACCAGGGGTATTTTCCATTGCAAAAACTGTAACTTCGTTTTTCCTCCATTGTTAGCTTTATCAGGCTTCTGTGTCTGAATGCTTGTGACTTGCTGGTTTTAGGTCTATTGTGGTACTCCTATGCACATGCGGTGGTTTTCTTGGGTTTGTTTTTAAATTCTGTGGACCTTGTCAAGCTTGGGTCTTCCTGGAAACAAGTGTTGCCCTGCTACCACTTCATCAAGGAAATTATACGGCCTGGCTTGCAACTATGGCATATACGTGCTCTGGCTTTGAGCACTTGCTTTTTTTTTTCTTTCAACTAGTGTTCATTTCTAAAGATAGTGTTGTGAATCTGGACGAACCCAAATGTTACAAATATCACAGAATATAAGAAGTGTCAAGGAAGTAGCATTCAGTCCTGGAAGTCAGACAGTAGGCAGACTGATGGAATAAAATATGATCCCAAGCCATTAAGGGTAGGTCTCTGGAATGTACCTCCCAGGAAGCATGGTGCTCAGATCTTCCTTAGTTGGGTGAGATGGAGTCCAGATTAACGGAAAAATATCTCAATGAAAGAAGCTTGGTTTTACTAATTTTTCTGTAAATTAAATTATTACCTAGCTGTTCTTTTAGTTTTAGCTGTTCCTTCATGGTTTGGCAGGTATAAGGCTGCACTGCCTTACTGGTGGTTTGGTGGTGTTTTGGTGGTGGTGTTTTTTTTTCTGCTGTCCCCTGAGCTGAGCTCAGAATCCTGTAGGCTTCTGTATTCTGTTAATAAGTTGTTTTCTGGAGTGTGTGCATGTTGCTGCTGCTTCTCAGGTCACTTTCTGTATTTTGTGTGGTTGACTGAAACAATCCAGTGCTGCAAGGGAGTATCAGCTTTGCCTCTGTTGATGTCTTAGCTTACCTGCAGCTTCCCTTCTTTGTTCCCAGTCATGCGTCTAAATCCTCTTTTCCTTGTTAGCATTTGTGCTTCTGTAGTCCAAATCTGTTCCCTTGAAAGAAAATATGAGAAAGTGATGTCCTAACTGCAGCCTCCTTGCTGTCTTGCTGAGGCCAGTTCTAGCCTCTAGTTAAGGTACATTGAGGCAGTTGTCCAAGACATCTGAAGCATGAGGCAGGTCAGAGGAAGAACCTCTAGGTGTCATAATACAGACAATTCATATTGTAAGTGGAAGTTCTGAGTTTGTTTTGGACCTTGTGGACTAGAATGATGAAATTCCCAAAGTTGTCTGTTTCAAAGCCTTGCTTTGTTTATACCTTCTGTAAATTAATGTTTTTTCCCCATCTAAAATAGACTGACAGAAATAGCATTCTTCTTAATTCATCTGTCTTGTCCTTTTGTAGGACAACTTTGCGAATTCATTGGTGTTTTCTTATTATTTTTAACCATGCTTTATCTCACACAGCATCCTGAATTTGGTGAATGAGAAGTGGATCTGGCTTGTACTAAATTATCAAAAGAGGCTGTCCATTGTCATTCACCAAGAATACTCTTTAGTGTTCATAAATCTTAATTTGCCATTTTGGGAGCATTGAGTGTGATGACTCTGTCATAATCTTGTCATAATTTGTTGATGCAAGATTGTATCAGCACACTGTGAGATGACAGGGCCTTACTTGCATCAGGGAGGACTACTGTGTTGCCTTCTGGTAGCATTTCTGTGTCCAACTCTAAGGAGAAACTAACTTGAGACTTTGTAATCTCTGCAGACTATTCCTGCTATGTTTCTGCATGTATCCATTCTTTGACAGTCATCTTCACACCTCTGAGCAAAAAAGGGAAGCTCTCTTTGTATGGGCTTAGAATTAATGTGGCATTCTACTTGGCCTGATGTTGGTGGGAGGTTTTATATCAAAATTGCAAGAACAGAAGTGGTGTCAAAGCTTACCACTTCTTAGGTAAGATTTGACATACCTGATTGTCTCTAATGTGGTAAAAAAAAGAACAGAACTACTGGTATGGTATCTAGTCTTGTTAAGATTCAGACTGTTCATCCTTATTCCCAAAACACACATGTCCTTTCTCAGATCTACCTTTTGTCCTTCTTACACAAGAGACAGAGGACATGACAGGTCCAGGTGGCTTTCTGCTGGCCTGTATAGCTGTAGTTACCTATCCTTTTGCAGCTATACAAGCCTTTGTGATTCTGATCTTGGACTGTGTTTTAGTGAATGACTCTTCTCCCTATCCTAATGCGGGAACTCTAGTCTTTGGTCTCGGAGTATTATCTCAGGGGATTGGTCATGGCCTGGTGTAAGGCTGTTGCAGTCAACGGTCGGAATACTTGAGACTTAACTTTTAGGCTGAAGGTGAATGAGCTGGGATTGAGAACACTGCTTTAGTACTTTTGTCATAGGCTTTAAGGATGGTTTTTAAGTTTATTTCCAAAATGCTTTGGAATTTTATAACCCAGTTGAAGACAGAGCAGTGTCACTGTCTTGTTCATGTGATGACTTAGTCATTCCGAGTACCTTACTTTGACATGGACCATTACCATGGAGGAAGGTCCTGTTCCCATCCCCCCGAGTTTTTGTTTCAACAGAAGTCCACACAGATGGTAATTTATTTTCTGGTAGTCATGACACTAATAATTCATCTAGCCCTGCAAGCAGAATTTGAAATGGCTTTTTATAAACTGGTACTGGGATCCAAAGTGGTCTTGTGTGTTTGATGTGAATGTTTTATGATAAGTGTTGGAATTTAAACTTGACCTGGACAGCAGTTTTCATGAGTCCTTTCCACTGTGAACTTTTTGTAGCATGTTGGTGTTGAAAGGTCTTTGAAGCTGAGCAAGAAAAAGACTACTGTGTGAGATCAGGTATTAATTTTCCAGCTACCAGTTTGAGGAAGGTATCTTTTGTGAGCAGGATTAATCCAGAAAAGTGGTTAAA